ACGGAGGACTACGCGTGTTGGGTTGGATCGCCAAAGTGGCTGGAAAAATTTATAAGAAAAATTAACGAAAAGTTCAAAAAAATTTCCCTTTTAACGAAAAGTTCTTTTTAAAAGGTATGGTAAATAGTGACAGGTAAAGGTAAAATTGTGTTTTTTTCGTTAAAAGTGAACAGTACCGAGAGTGTTTTATTAAAACTCTCAAATTTATAACCAAGCGGACATGTTTTTTTCTCTGATGTTCAACTGCAAGTAGAAATTCTGTTAGTTTAAAGGATTTTAAGGATTAAGTGCCTTTTTTTAAAAGAGGATTAGCTTGGACGGGATAACTAAGCATTTTTAAAAGAGAAGTCAAAATGTTCATATCAACGATAACAGTAAAAAAAGATGATATTAGTGTCAGCAACTTCAATTTTTTTTAACAAACGATATTATTGAAAATGTCTCACAATGAGCTAACAATAATGTGGTTTAAACTTTTATTTTTACATTTTGTCCTAAATTCTTATTACAATCATGAAAAGTAAATAATGTAATAAATAGTGATTTAAATTTGACAAATCGGATGGAGAACAAAAATTTAAAAAAAAATCAAAGTACCATAGAAGCTTTCAAATTTAAATTTTATGTTTGAAATTTGAAATCTCCTTTAGAAATGAACAAATCAGTTGTTTTTTTTTATAGATTTCTTTATAGATAATGTTGGCGGTATTAGAAAATTTTATTAACAAGAAAAAATATATATACTTAATCTCATGCACATAAACCTTAACCCTTAATTTGGCCCAATATATTATTAAAGAATTCCCACTTGGTTTGGTCCCGTATAATTTTATTTTCCCTGCTAGCAAGATTATGAATTCCAACTATCTTTAGTTTTGTTGGAATAATTTCCCAAGTCATAATACAAAATTAAGAATACCAACTATGCTTTTGTTTTTTTTCGGCTAAAAAAAGTAAAATTCAAAAATCAAAAAATCAAAATCAAAGAAAATGACAGGAAAGAGCAACAACTTGTATATGTATAGTTTATATGAAAGTAAATTAGGTCATCTCCAACCGAACCGGTCAGAAGGTTATATGGGTAAAAATAACTCGAAATGACACGAAAATCGTTTCCTATCATCTTTAAAAGAAAATTATAGGAATCTTCAGCAGTTCCCAACACCAACCTTCTCCCAAATTTCACTGAATAATTTCAACCTGCTTCATAATTTTTTAGGCAAACTAATGAAAGAGGCTTGAAAACTTTGAGTTTTAACGATAAAGACAAAATAAAAGGTAAAGTGAATAGTACAAAGATTGATTTTTTAAGTGTAAAAATATGGTTTTTCTTTAAAGTGAACAGTATCGGGAGCTTTTCATTAAAGTTTCCTAATTTTTTCTTATAGATGAAATTTCCTTGATAAGATTAGCAAGATGGATCTCATCTTTCATGGGTTTCGTGAATTTTGAGAGGGTGAAGCTTTGAGAGAAAGGAGAGGAGGTGGTTGGTGGAGATGCGGCAGCAATGCTGGTAGTGAGAGAGAAGATGGATGTTTGGATACTAGTACAAGATATGAAATTGTGTGTTTGGTTAGAGAGATAGTAAGAGCTGGGAGAAGATTTTATTTGATAGGTGTTTTAAATTTAGTAATCCAAATAAAATGGTCAGCAACTACGGTACTCTCTGTTGAGTACTCAAGCATTGTCCTTAATTATTCATTTTACTTTACATCTCACTCCTCCTTAGGTAGTAACTAATTAGTAGGTACCATTATTTGGTAATGTCATGTGATAATAAAAAAATGCATTTTCACTCGCATTAACTTAGATGTATGCTATCATATACCTTATGTGTCTCATCTCTTAGCTATAGACTACAGTTAACATCTTTATTAAATGTTTTTTTATAATTTTTTGTTCAAAAAATGTTTATTTTATTTTATTTCTTAACAGTGATTAAAATATAGATTAAATAAAGTGAATTGTTATTGGCACTTCAAAAATTTGATTTGCTACTCCAAACATTCTATAATTAGAAAAAAAAATACAGGAATGTAGAATGAGATTTTTAAAATGCTAATAACAAATTCCTAAATTTTGAAATAATTTTTAACCGTACGATATACGATGAACGATTATTTACGAAATTCTTAGGATCTCCAGAAAAAGGAGGGCGAGAATCCTTTCCAAGGTAGTACTAGACTTAGGGGTGGAAAAAATTCCTGAAAATTCTGAACCGAACTGAAAAAATCCCGATCCCAAACCGAAATTCCCGAAATTTTCGAGATGCTATCCCGAACTGATCCCAAAATTTTGGTACGGGATTCGGGATTGGCTTCTCAATATTTCGGAAATCCCATACCGAACCAAAAATATATAATATTAATTGTTATATATATTATATATATTATTCTTCTATAATTGATGCTAGTAGTTTCTAATTCATGCTCCACAACCTAGAATGCCCTACACCTTGCATATTTTTCATGTTCTGTTTGATATTCATTTGGATTTTATTATTGATGTTGGCATGACTGATGATTTCAGAAGACTTGATTTTTTTTGTCTCTCAACAGATTGCAAAAAGGGTTTAATTAATTTGAATTTTGACTCTGATAAAAACAGTCAGGCATGCCAATTTTAGATTAAATGGTAGTGTGAATGAAATGACATTCCTAGTTCATGAATGTGTTCTTGAATTATATATTTGAACAACAATTCATAATTTCATATTTCAATTTGGGATTTCCGATTTATCCCGAAATCCCAAAAACATTTCGAGATTCCTGAAATTTGATATTCCCGAAAATTTGGTTTGAGATTGGTCTTCAAATTACCATCCTGAAAATTTTCGGTATGAAATTCAGGATACTAGTTTCAATATGATATCTTATACCGAACCACCCCTAGGCTATAACTTCTCGATGCGGTGGTGGGAATTGACATTTCCGTGAGTGGGTAGAGAGAGAGATGACGAGACATGGAAAAGAGAGAAGGGAGGATAGAATTTTCACCATAGCTGTTGCTGCTGAACTAAAACAGTGCAGCTCTCTGCACAAAGCCTCAATAAGGAGAGGTTTTTCAACAGGTGCACGCGGCAATGTGCATGTATGATTTCCTTCTTGTCTTTTCGTTTGTGCCTTTCCCGCTCATTATTTGTCATGTGAATATTTGCTTCCCCAGAAAAAAAAAAAAAAAAATTTATTGTGTTTGAAAGCTAACTATTTTCCTTTCACTATACCCTTTAGACCATTTCTCTTTGAGTTAAAATTTAAAATTTTTAGTCCGCAAAATTTAAGTTTTAATTTAGAAACAATTTTTTTACTTTAACCTTTCTTAGTTAAAATTTAAATTTTATATTATTAAAAAATAAATTTAAGCTAATTTTTTTCTTAAAGTAACATTTTTAAAAGAAAAAAATTATGTAAACTATCATAATTTAATTTTATGAACATTTTAACCTAAAAATATTTAGATTCCAACAAATATTGAAAAATTATTAACCGATACCATGAAACTCGTGAAACACTATAAAAGAAATGAAACACATAAAATAATTTTTTTTAATTACTTTAGCCGTTGAATTTAAATTTGAACAGTTATATTGTTTTTTGCCATTGGATTTCATCAAATTAGATCTTAACTGTTAGATTCAATAAATTTATAAATGTAAAACTAAAAAAAATATACATATATAATGGGTCAACCCTACTCAAGCAAAATCCTAAACTAAATTTGATCCAAAAATAAGGTTTGAGTTTTAACTCATATTTACCCCAATGATTGAAGCAAATTGGAATATGTTTAGGATCTAAAATTTAAGTTTTATTCTAAAAGTTAGAGTAAGTCTAATAGATCCAATTACTATTTCCTTGATTCGAAAGATTAAAACAAACATATTATTAATTGAAAAAAAAAAATGGCAGACTCGTTCGAGTTATGAATTCCTATGAAAATTCAATCGTCATCGTCCACATCGAGTCACATTCAGGTAATCCTTCGAACATGCTTGTTCGAGTTATGAATTCCTATCGATTTCACGATTGATTCATCTTCCTCCGTCCTCTTCATCTCCACGGCCTGTGTCTCCACTTCCCACCTCTTCTCCAACTACTTCACAGAATTCATCGCCCTCGTCCTCTTCATCTCCACATCCTCTCCCCCAACCCCAACCCCCTGCCATGGCTCAAATTTCCTGTTAGCGCCAGGCTCCACAGCGTAGTCGGAGTTCTTGGGATCGGTTTTGATGATGATTTTGGCGGAGAGGTCGCTGCAATTGGTGTAAAATTTGAACACCACGATTCTCTCAGATTAGGCTTCGTCGGAGACTTGAATTGAATTGGATGCTTTTGCACATGAAATTTGCAGATCAACCATGGGTCTGAGGTCTGGGTGAGGAAGACGAAGTGCCTAAGTTTTTTTGTTTTTTTCAATTACCAATATATTTGGTGTACTCAATAAAAAAAAAAACCAATATATTTGTTTTAATTTTAAAAATTAAAAAATATATATTGAAAGTCAAATAATTTAAGTTCGATTCTTAACAAACGAGAATTTAAGCTATATTATCACTAGTCTATTATGAGGTTAAGTTCACCGTCTTTCTCTAGTTTAGTTAATATCGTTTATTCAAAGAACAAAACTGGTAAAGGAAAATTATAAATTTTCAAACACAATTCCATAAATATTTAGTTTTAAAGAAAGTAGCCACTCAGTATTATGGTTTGGTAGTATTCCTTTTTACTTGGAAGTGAGAGGTCTTAGGTTCGAATCTCGTGGATGACGAATTTGATACCAAATTAGACTGTCATTTGTGTGGCTTAGCCGAACTTTCTCTCCTCTTAAAAAAAAAAAATTGAAAGTAATGTCCACGTGTCAAATAATGAGTGGGGAATGTTAAAAGGAGGCAAGAGGGTGAGGGGAAGGTGGCTATATATACAGGGCATTGCCACATCCATAGTACATAACATCCAAGCTAGCTAGCTGTAGCTTCGAGGGCTCGGAAACTTGTTGAAGAGATGGAGGAATTACATCGGGCTGCTTTAGCATATTACAACAATGGGGACCGTAATCTTCAGCTACTAGCATCAAACTTCTTCCAATCCATGGACCAGAATGGCGACGGCATAGTCAACCTAGCCGAGTTCGTGACATTTCTCCAGCAAAACGGCTACGGTTGGATTGGCCGTAACTTCTTCTATGATCTGGATCGCAACCTTGTCGGCGGTCTGGATTTCCATGAAGTGCTCACATTTTACTACATAATTAAGACCAGGAACTTGTGGTGCAGGCGATGTGGAGTGTGGCTCACAGGGCTGTATTTTACGTGTGTCGAGTGCTTCGACGGAGCCCCCGATAACTATGATCTATGTTCTGGTTGCTACTCGGGTAGGGGTTTATACACCACCACACCTGCTTCTTGGATAACCATATCCTGCTCAGATCAAAGAGAAGACAAGGTACTGGTCTTCCAAACCTCAATCTGGTAAGTGACATAATATTCATATGCACAAGTATATTCTGTATATTTGAAAACAAGATGTAAATTAAGAAAATGACTACTGTATTATTATTTTTGTGCTAATTTTACAAGGCAATGTTTTAAATTTTTATAATTTATAGTAAAAGATTTTAAACTTGAATGTAAACGGAAGAACACGGTAAACACGAAATTTTCCTGAAAGGAAAGAGACAAGAACAACGTGCACAAAATAATATTTGTATTTGATGATTTTTGGGTTACAATCTCTCTCAAATTTGATCTTCTGATTCGATCTCCGTAAGGTGTGTATTTGTCGATGTGCGATTGATCCAAAGGGTCGTTGGGCTTGATCTAAGGATGAACATTCTTCAAGGGCCGTGGGCTTGATCTTTGAAGGTGGATTTGAGCGGATCTTCAAGGAGCCGTTGGGGCTTGATCTTGAGGATGAGTGTTTCTTCAAGGGCCGTTGAGGCTTGATCTTGAATAACGGTGATGAACGGATCTTCAAGGGCTTTTGGGCTTGATCTTGAAGAACAGTTGGATGTGTGGATTTGTCGACGTTGTTGATCCAAAGGGCCGTTGGGGCTTGATCTTAAGATGAACGGATGATGAACGATGAACACTTTCTTCAAGGGCCGTCGGGGCTTGATCTTGAATTGGTGGAAGTTCTTCAAGGGCCTTTGGGGCTTGATCTTGAATTGGTGGATTGTTGATCCAAAGGCCGTCGGGGCTTGATCTTGGAAGAATGATGAACGAAGAACGAAGAACACTTTCTTCAAGGGCCGTCGGGGCTTGATCTTGAATTGGTGGATGATTGTTGATCCAAAGGGCCGTTAGGGCTTGTGGAAGAATGATGAACGAAGAACGAAGAACACTTTCTTCAAGGGCCGTCGGGGCTTGATCTTGAATTGGTGGATGATTGTTGATCCAAAGGGCCGTTGGGGCTTGATCTTGGAAGAACGATGAACGAAGAACGAAGAACACTTTCTTCAAGGGCCGTCGGGGCTTGATCTTGAATTGGTGGATGATTGTTGATCCAAAGGGCCGTTGGGGCTTGATCTTAAGATGAACGATGAACGAAGAACGAAGAACGAATAGAGCTTTCTTGATTCTTTGGGAACCTGAATGCTTGAGAGATTCGGAGTTTCAGAGCTTCAGAGCTTCAAGAATTTTGCCTAATGATTTTGGTTCCCCCTAAAATGAATGAAATGGGCTTGTATTTATAGAATTTTCCAAGGCCTAATTTTGAATATAATATCCCAGATGAAATAAGTCGTTTCTACCAGGTGTTGACACGTGTCCTGTTTGATGATTTTTCCAACTCATTTCAATTTTTCGTCGAGTCACACACTACGTGTAAAATTTATGTAATACATGAGCGTTGAAACTTTGATTTATCGGTCAACATTTATTTACCGAAATTTCGATGTCTACAAATGCCCCCACTTCAAGGCGCGTCGTATACATGTGTTTGTCGCGTGTAGGAGATGCGTTTTTGAAGTCCCTTAATGTAGATGTTGATCCAAGGGCCGTCGAGGCTTGATCTTGAATTGGGCTGGAGATTTCTTCAAGGGCCGTTGATGCTTGATCTTGAACTGGGCTAGAGATTTCTTCAAGGGCCGTTGAGGCTTGATCTTGAACTTTGTTTGAAATTCTTCAAGGGCCGTCGGGGCTTGATCTTGAACTTTGTTTGAAATTCTTCAAGGGCCGTCGGGGCTTGATCTTGAATCGGATTAGAATTGTACGGTGATGCTTTGCTCTTTGGCGATGTTGTTGAAGCTTCTCGAGTTCTTGGTTTCAACTCAGGCTCCTTCTGCTGGGTTGATTGAGTGTGCAGGCAGCATTCTTCTCTGCTTGTTTCTTCTGCACGGCAGGTAGGCACGAGGTAGAGGTGATGGTCTATTTCTTTGTTCAATCTGTCCAAGTGCCGACCGATTGCTTTCTTTCTCCTTGTCTCGTAAGCAAGAGCAAGGGTAAAGGAAAAACATGCCATGAGATATCTTTGCCTTTGACTCTGATGATATGAGATACTTTTGCTTTTGAAGAAGTATCTTTCCACAGGTTTATTCTTGAACTGGGCTGGGGAACTTCTTAGCAAGGAAAAATAGACTTGATCTTGAAGATGCATTAGCACGTTGTCTCCACATGCTTTAAGGTATCATTTTCACTTGCCTTATCTGTTCTCCAGGCAGATGTGGCAGCTTCTTGAGTTCCTCAACTCAGACTCCTTCTGCTGAGTTGACTGTGCAGGCCGCAATCTTCTCTGCTTGTTCCTTCTACACGTTGTCTCCACATGCTGCAAGGTATCATTTTCACTTGCCTTATCTGTTCTCCAGGCAGATGTGGCAGATTCTCCCAAATCTCCCAAATTGCTCTCTAACTCACAAATTGACTCTCACCAAATTGTCACACGAATGAGCCACACAAAATACACTAACCCTAAGGTTCTATTTATAGTGCATAGGACTTAGTTACAATAAGAATCCTAATAGGAAATAAATCCAAATCCTAATCAAATAGGTAATTAACAAAATATCTCCACCAAGGAAACTAACTAAGAAGTCAAAACCAAACCCAAATAGGACACCAAAACCAAATAGGTAACACAAACCTAATTTATTGCATCGTCCTAATTTTGAGCCAAAAACCCAACAAATCCAAAATCTAATCATTTTTTTTACTGCAAATACGATGTTCATTAATAAGGATGAAATACGTACATATCAAAGAGAATATGGTGCTATTAATGGACTTTGATAAAATTATGTTGGAGATTTCAACCCAGACAAAACGTCCTGCGCCAATCAACCAACTATTAAAGCTATTCTCATAAAAAAAAAAAAAAAAAAAAATCAGAGATTACATCCGGAGTTCCTCAAAACATGATACTTGATTAGCTGAGACTAAACCCGTTTTCGCCAAATGATACGCCACTTTAATCGTTTCTTTTCGACTAAATTCGAACTTCCAGGGGGAAAGGCTGCAGCAAAAGACGACCATCATGTAATAGAATGCCCAAATGGGCCATTGTTGGTTGTTGCATCCCACTGTAGTGCCCTGATGACCAACAAAGCATCTCCCTCGAACGTCATTTGTGTTACCGCTAGCTGTCTTCCAAAATCCACAACTTCACGAGCTGCAAGAATCTCTGCCAACAGAGGTGAGCAAATCCCAGAAAGATTCATCGTCTTGGCCGCCACAAACTCTCCATTCTCATCGCGAACCACCACCCCAATTCCTCCGATAGATCCGTCTTCATCCCAAGCACCATCAAAATTACATTTGAGCCACCCGTTAACAGGTTTCTGCCATTTCTGCGTGGTGGACACCCTGCTGGCAGAAGAGAATGCTTTTGTTTTGGAATGAATGTATTTCTATTCATCTCTCAAGGAGGGATTTATAAGATATTACAATCCTATCACTAAGGAAAGAAATAATTTACATAAAAACATAATAAACTAAGATCCCCAATATTACAGGAATATATGCACAAAAGTCAACACTCCCCCTCAAGTTGGTGCATATATATCACACATGCCCAACTTGTGTATGAAACTTGAAAATTTATGACTTGATATAGCCTTTGTGAGGATATCTGCCAACTGATCGTTTGTTCTTATTGCCGGTACCTCAATTATCTTCCCTTCCAATTTTTCTTTGATGAAGAATTGATCAACTTCAACATGTTTTGTTCTATCATGTTGTACTTGATTATGTACAATGTCACGGACAGCTTTATTATCACAAAATAATTTCATTGGTTGATCATGTTCTATACCCATATCCTTTAGCAAAAGCTTAAGCCACAAAATTTCACAAATCCCCAAGGCCATACCTCTGTATTCAGCTTCTGCACTGGAACGAGCAACCACGTTTTGTTTCTTACTCCTCCATGTAACCAAGTTACCCCCAACGAATGTGAAGTAACCTGATGTTGAGCGTCTGTCATCCACTGAACCTGCTCAATCTGCATCAGTATAACCGTCAATGCTAATATGGTTATTCCTTTTAAACAAAATTCCTTTTCCTGGACTTCCCTTCAAATACCGCAAGATTCTGATCATTGCATTCATATGTTGTTCTCCAGGATCATGCATGTATTGACTCACTACACTTAAGGCATAGGCAAGGTCCGGTCTTGTGTGTGCCAAGTACATTAAATGCCCTACTAACCTTTGGTATCTTCCTTTGTCTACTGAGACTTGGTTAGGATCAACGTTAAGCTTCAATCCTTCCTCTAATGGTGTAGCTATTGGCTGACAAGCTGACATGCCAATTTTGTGCAACAAATCAATAATATACTTCCTCTGAAACAGGAAAATTCCAGAACTACTTCTTGACACCTCAATCCCTAGAAAATATTTTAGGGATCCAAGGTCCTTCATCTCAAATTCTGTAGACAGGTATCTTTGCAAGGCTGCACATTCTTCTGGATCATTCCCTGTTACCACCATATCATCTACATACACAATAAGTGCAGTAAGTTTCCCATATCGCCTTTTCAGAAATAGAGTATGATCGGAGTTACTTTGTTTGTAACCAAATGCTCTCATAGATTTTGTGAATCTTCCAAACCATGCTTGAGGAGACTGCTTCAAACCATACAAGGATTTCTTCAACCTGCACACCTTTTTCTTGTATTTATCTGGTGCATTACATCCTGGTGGAAGATCCATATAAATCTCTTTTGTCAAGTCTCCATGCAAGAAGGCATTTTTCACATCGAACTGTTGTAAAGGCCAATTAAGATTCGCAGCCAAGGACAACAAAACACGGGCTGTGTTGATCTTAGGGTTGGAAAAAAATCCCAAAAATCCCAAACCAAACCAAAAAAATCCCGATCCCAAACCAAAATTCGCGAAATTTTCGATATGTCATCCCGAATCAAACTGAAATTTTCGATATTCCCATACCGAACCGAAAATAAATATTATATATATATTATTTCTTAATTATAAGAGAATTATTTCAACCGTTCATTGTTTTTAATCTATGTCGTTCATTTGT